GAAGGTCAAGGGTCCCAGCCAGCAAGCATGAGAAAGAATATAATAGATGCTGTAAGAGTAACACAGTATTGTGGCATGGTTAAGTGGGGGAAGGAACTCTGGAGTCAGGCTGCCTGAGTTTGAACCATGGCTTGGTCACCTGCCAGCTTCATGAAGTTGTGCAAGTTAAATTACTCAACTTTCTCCACCCTCATTTCCCCATCTGTAAGATGAGAACAGTAGTTGCCCTCTCTAAGAGGAATCTGGAGAGCAATAAGTCATAGTATAATTTTAAGATATTCCTCTTGATGACTTCTATGTAGCAGTATTTGAGTGTGTGTTTAAGCGTATTCTTAAGTCATGGTGCCTGGTGTATCATTCATGGTGAGTTAGAGGTTTGTGCTGAAGACAGAATTCCTAGTGTTTACTTCCAGCTCTTTATAAATTCTAATATTCATTTTACTTCCTTGTACATCAAGTTACTTCTTTATTTAAAGGAGCATAGCATGTTCCACGAGAGCAAGGACCTTATCAATCTTGTTCAGTACCTAGAACAATGCTTGGCACACAGTAGATGCTGGATAAATGTTGATTGAGTACAACTTACGGAGATTATGAAAATGTTGATACATCAGGCATGAGTGTAATTCTGAGAACGAACCATAAGTACTCTACAGAAATGACAGGTTTCCCTTGTTTAAGATTCCCAAGAGAGATAAGCAATGCTATCTATGAAATTTCTGGGCTAGAATCTATGCATGAGATTTGGAGTCAGAAGATCTTGCCTGGAGACATGGCTCTACCACTAGGCTTTGTAACTTCAAATAAGTAATTTAACCTCTATGAGCTTGATTTCAGTCATCAGTGTTTTGGGTTATTACTCACGCTTTAGAATATTTTTGAGAAATCAAAAGATCAATGAAATACAAGCATTTGTAAACTGCAAGTACAATAAAGTATAAATGCACTAAGAAATGGTAACTTTTCATGTTCCATTTTAGAGGACTATAAATCATAAGAAGCAGAACTGTATTCCTGTTACTTAAGTCTAAGGTCGTGAAGATAAAGCTGTATTATCCCCAAAACAAAATTGATCTTAAGAATACAGAGAAAACCAGCCCTTCTCCCTGTCTTTTATACATAGTCAGACAAATAGAGCTGCATGAGAGAACTTCTCCCCATCTTTGTGCCAGCTCTGTTAAGTGTTGCACTTAGTTTCTTCTGAGTCAGCCCCTAAAATAGTTCCAGTCTGAAGGAAGACATGTGGTGGATAGAACTGCTTTGAAGAATTGGCCAGAGCTTCATCAAAGGTTACAGGCCAAAATTTTAAAAAAGAAAAAGAAAAAAGAAAATTCCTTCTTCCCCTATCTCTGATATTACATAAAATACATGGCCAGAAGCCGATTCTTGTTTGCATTTTTCATTTGTAAAACTTCAGAATTCACATGTATTATTTATTATCTTTCTGTACTTGATGGACCTCTGTAGAAAAAATCTTTCTCCAGACCCTCACTGTTTATGTTTTGAGCAGATCTTATATAGATAGATCTTTTTAGTCATTTTTCTTCCAAATGTGTTCAGGCAAACTATGTAACTTAGTTGTGGGATTAAGTTGGAATATCATACTCTTTCAGAGTGGTTTTCATAATACATTAAGTCAGTTACAGTGTGGAAATGAATTTGCTCTTGAAATTCGACTTAGTAACACTAATGAGAAAAAATCTGTGGCTAAGGAGAAATTCAGAAAGCTTGGGATAGTTAATCCCATCACTAGTCAGGCTGTATTTGGTTGTCATGTCTCTTTAGACTTTAAAATATATATATAACAGCTTTATTTGGATGTAATTCATATACATCCAATTCATCTATTTAAAGTGAACAATTCAGTGAATGAGTTATGATAGTTGAAAAATAATGCAATCATCACCAGTATCTAATTCCAGAACATTTTCATCACCCCCCCAAAGGAGACCCTGTACCCATCAAGCAGTCATTCACCCTTATCCCCTTTTCCCAACCCCTGGCAACCACTAATCTACCTTCTGTCTCTGTAGATTTGGCTACTCTGAACTTTTCATATAAATGGAATCATACAATATGTGGCCTTTTGTGACAGGTTTCTTTCACTTAATATAATGTTTTCAAGGTTCATCCTTCTGTTAGCATGCATCAGTACTTCATTCTTATTTATGGCCAAATAACATTCCATTGTGTGGATATATTGCGTTTTGTTTATCCAATCATCTGTTAATGACGCTTAAGTTATTTCTACTTTTTGGCTATTGTGAATAGTGTTGCTATGAACATTCATGTAGAAGGATTTGTAGGAGGATTTCTTTATCCCTTGTTTTCAGATACTTTGGGTATATACTGAATCATGAAAGTGAGGGACTGTCCGACAGTTTGCCACAGAAATTGCACTATTTCATATTCCCAGCCACAATGTATGAGGGTTCCAATTTCTCCATTTTTTCTGTCTTTTAAAGTTATAGTTAGATTAATGAGAGTGAAGTAGTCATCACATTGTGATTTTGTTCTGCATTTCCTCTATCAGGTTCTTTTAAAAATGCATTTTTCTAGAAGTCATTTGCTGGCAACTTTAACCCTCTAGAACATGACCCTGCATGTAACTTGATACAGAAGGGCCCCCAAAGAAGTAAGAGCAGTCTTAGAACTTCTGTGAGAAAGCTCTGCATCTTGTTCCATAGGCCCCTCATTCAGTGGGTAACTAATTGTTATTCAACATTCATGACTGGCTATTAGGTTTTTCAGAAGCGAGATGGAAAATTCACTGTGGTAGATATTGTGACAATCAGAGAAGTGACAGTGGATGTGACAATTAACAGTCTGCCACTGAAAGAGGAGAACTGTTATACTTCTAATACATTAACGATTCCAAGTCTTTAATTAGAATCCAAATTATGTTCAATATTTTTTAAGAAGACAAAGTTACATAAAATGAATACATTTTAGAACAATTTCCATGAAGAATGACTCAGAGAAAAACATGTTTTGCTCTTGAGTAGAGAAGCTTATTTGAATTTTCTAGGTACTTAATTTCTGAATGATATTTGAAAAGTCAGGTGATATTGAATTTCATCTAAAATATGGAAAAGACAAAGAAAATTTAGATTTTGTAAAGTTGTTGAAAATATTGTCCAAAAAATTAAATGAAATATTTTTAAGAGCTTTAATCTCATTTTTCAAAAAAGCTGACAGTTGATTTTTCTAATACTCAGAGCTCACTTTTACAAATTAGTGCTATTTCAATATGTGTTTATGGCATGTGCCAATAAATTAACCTTTCCTGTATCTTCTCAGCTGTCATTAGAAGTTGTAGCTGGTTCACACTGAGTTAAACTGCAAACCATAAAGCTGCATAATATTTAATCTATTTCTTTAAACAGCACATTCTGTCTCACTTGTTTGTACATGCTGAAATCTTTTTCTGAGTTGTTCCAGTTTCCCTTCATAGAGACTAAGGAGGCTACACAGAAAAAACATCCAGTATCTTTTCAAATAATTTTTTTTATTCACTGAGTTTTACTTATTTATAACTTCCACTTGTTATTGGTTCTTATCAAATAGAGACTTGAATACATTTTTATGCAAAAAATATAACTTATACAAATAAAGAGCCCTTTGACTCACCCTTAATCCTACTGTGTGAACCATTATTGTCAGCTTGCTATGAATTATTCCAGATATTCATCTCTCTATGCACATAGGGAAATATATTATTGTTTTATGGATTTTTCCATAAGTCATAACACATATATATTACATGCAATATGCATTTATTTGAACTTGATAAATCTTGGTGATCTCTACACATCAGAACCCATATATCTGTTTCTTTCATTTTAACAGCTGCATGGTATTCCATAGATATGCCATGTATACAACATAATTATGATACACCCTTAGGGTATCTTCTTTTTTTTAAACACACACACACACACACACACACACATATAATTGTACTTTACGTTCTGGGGTACATGTGCAGATCTTTCTGAAGCACATTTTACATTTCCATCCTCCACTCCACCTTATGTGAGATTGTTGCCCAATCTTGTACGACAACAGTGAATCTAAGCAGCTGCTTGCTTTTACTATACAGTTTTATACTGGGAAATGTCCTTTTTATTGACAACGGCTGACTGTACTATGTTGCACTGTCAGTATCTAGATGCTTCCTATTTTAAATAGGATATAGTTACTTCTTTTCCAAATCTAGAGTTTGAAACGGAAGCATTGTGTTATTTTAGCTAATTTTATTTATTTTTTTCTTGCAGGTTCTGAAAAGTGCCTTTTCTGAAAACTCTGCTGCTTGGATTCTACTCTAGAGCTGTCTCTGTATAAACCCCTCTCCCTAACATAACGTTCCCTGCCCTCTCCACCTCCCCGCCGAACCTGGTGTGCTTGTAGTTTACTGTCAGCAGCTGGTCCATTTCTTTTTTCTGTGATTCTCAATTTTCTTAGTTATTTCCCCTCCACTTGATTTTGCAACAAAACTTTTTTGGGTTTCTAACATCCTTCCCAATCTTATTATTTATAGCTAATAAATAAGGAGAAAAACTTTTCTCCTCCTGATCTGAGACCATTCCACAAATCGAAGGGCAGCCAGCAGCATATGTTTTTTGCAAGAATAATTGAAAACATCAACTGCAGAGCACAGAATTCTTTTGAAAGTTTGCCGGTTATTTCACATAAATTCGGCAAAGGAACAAACAGTTGGCTTCTTAGGAGTTGGTCTCTAATTTGATTTTTAGTTATTCTGATAGAGTTTTTATGATTGGCTTTTTGTTTGACTAGACCAGACTTAACTTTAATGAAAACCTAAGTGCCAACAAATAGACGTTTCACCAACACCACCTGTTAGCTCTTCACACTAAGTTTGAATTCATTTTTAATCCTTAAACAGTCGACAATAATATTGTACTTAAGAGGGTACATTGGATTTTAATTTTGCTTTCAATATGACGGCTGTCAATGTTGCCCTGATTCGTGATACCAAGTGGCTGACTTTAGAAGTTTGTAGAGAATTTCAGAGAGGAACTTGCTTTCGAGCTGATGCAGATTGCAAGTTTGCCCATCCACCAAGAGTTTGCCATGTGGAAAATGGTCGTGTGGTGGCCTGTTTTGATTCTCTAAAGGTGAGTCCCATCTGAATGCACATAATTTAAATTTGTTGATTTCTATGTTTTTGAAATATGATGTGCTTTGAAATGAGTAAAAATAATAGCATGAAAATGATAATTTTTTTAAAAGACAGAATGTCAAGATAGAAGGTCTTAAAGTCGGAATGTCTTAATGACAAAATGTCTTAAGTCTTTGTGCTTGTAGAGCTAAGCTAAGTCTAAAGCTCATTTCACTGAAGACCACTTATCAAGACAGATACACTTAAAGAATAAAAATTCAAGAATTTTTGTAGGAGTGAGGGATTGTAGTCTTGCTATTGTTTATTTTTTTGTATATGATTTAGATGTTAAATATAGTGATCGTAATCCTTCCGTAACCTAGAGAAGCCCTTCACTGAATCATAGCTTGTTATCCATAGTACCAAAATGCACTTGGCAGGGACCAGTCAGCTTTCAGAGATTAAATAAGTCAGAGTGAGAGAGTATAAGGTTTCCAGAAGGAAAATTATGGCATTTTGAAGTGTCTCAAAGTATATTTTGAACCTTTAACTTAAACATATGCTACAAAACTAGGTTCAGTTAATTTTTCTCCTGGACAGCTGATTAACCAATTTCAGATTTGTGAGTAGATTTTGTAAGGAAAGTCCTATTACCAAGGTCATCAAGGCTGAGTATAATCTACTAGATTACAAAGAAAATATAAGGGCAGATGAGATACTATGTAGAATAGGACATATATGATTGCAGAAAAAGAAAATGCACTGATTTTCATGTTTTATTCATAGTTATCCTTAAATTAAGGATAAAAACTACAAATTAAAACATAGAAGCAATAAATTATAATGGATTTCTAGTTTAATTAATAAGATTTACTACAATGCATTTGAGATTTTTTTTCAAAATCTGTCAAAATGAATTAAGCTTAACAGGAACATTTTCAGTTTTTTGATATTATTTTACGCTCATCATGACCAGTTTTACCTCATTAACATTTTTATTTATGGCTGCATTGGCTAACAGAGATGTATCCCTTCGTGTGATGGTTTCCTCAGGAAACATTTTCTTAAGTGATATACAGATTAAGTATCTCTTATCTGAAATGCTTGAGACAAAGTGTTTTGGATTTTGGAATATTTGCATATCCATAAAGAGATATCTTGAGGATGGGACTCCAGCCTAAACATGAAATTCTTTTACATTTTGTATATACTTTTTACACATAGCCTGAAGATAATTTTATACAATATGTTAAGTGATTTTGTGCATGAAACAAAGTTGTGTACATTCAACTCTCAGAAAACAAAAGAGTCACTATCTCAGCCACCCCTGTGACATCATGTTGGCACTTAAAAAGTTGAGGCTTTTGGAGCATTTTATACTTCAGGTTTTCAGATTAGAGATGCTCAACCTGTACTACTTAAGGAATTATTTTTACTTATTTTGTGATTACTAGGTATTTTTTTTTTAACTTGCAGACCATTCCATTTAAAAATGGAAACTTGTTATTGTAAAGATAAAGGTAATTTCTCCCATTGAAAATCTCGGAATTGCTTTTATTTGTGGTAGACATTATGACGAAAGAGCTTATTTTGTTTTCTTCATTTCGGTTCCACTTAAGTTTCTTCTACAATTATTTTGTGTATTATTTAAATCTGCTGCTGCAGGACTGGGCAGTGCCTTGAAGTTGAAAGAATGCTGAGTTAGTTGGGAGAAAAAAGGAGGCGTCTTTCATTCAGTCCATATAGAGAGTTAGGAACCGCAGTAGGAACTTTGCATGTGTTGTTTCAGGAGATCTGGGGTACTGCCCCAGCCTCATTACTGTATCTGACCTCAGGCAACTTAACCTCACAAACCTTGAGTGATTTCATCTCTAACAGATGGGTAGTATCTTCTCTATCTAATACTTTGATTATTGTGGAGATTGCAGTGAGCTAGTGTAAATGGAAAACCATATATTGCTATAGAAGTGAATTAAATAAAAGGTTTTCTTCCTATCAACTAAGTGTTTGTTGTTGGCATTCCTTAATACATCTCTATTTAGTTAGGGTTTATTATTGAAAATTACAAACTCATGTTCCAAATATACATGACCAAATCTAGTTGCTGTGGGATATTAGTTGTTCAAGCTAAGTATAACTGTTTTTATGGTTACACTGATATAGAGTTCCTTGTAGGCTTTGTAAATTCTGTCTTTCCAAACATCATAGAATGTGGAAGGAAATGTGTAATCTTCCTAATCACTAATACACTCAGGTCAGTAATTCCATTTAAAGGCAAAAGAGTGCCATAAACTAAACATTTTGAAGAAAAGTGCTAGGGAAGGTAACTGTTTACAAAATGAGTATTGCCCTACAACTTTAAAGTTTGGAAAGTGTTTAATTTAGAGACAAAATATATAATAGCCAATGAATATTAATAATTATTTAAATAAGTTGTCTACTCACTGTAGCCCGTGTTTTTAAAGTATGTTTGCATCATATTACTATCCTGATGACCAGTCACACAGGGTAAAGATGATTTACATAATCCTTACATTCTCATATTTTAGTGAAAACCTTAATATTTCAAATATAGAAAGCCTTTCAAACAATTATTTAATTCACCAGATAGCACATTAATCAGAGTTCCATGTATGCACAAGAGCTTTGTAGTTCTTATCCATGACATGCATGAAAGTTAAATTGAAGGTAATTGACCTATGTGCATTGTACTAGTGTCATATCTGTAATACGCAAATAACATACCTCAGTGGTTACTGTAGCATTTCCTACTTCTCTTGAGTTCGTATAATTGAAACACTGTTGAAATTCGTCTGTACTATTTCTTCTCTCAGGAGTGATTAAATAACTGAAACAATCTTTTGGTGCGTTTTGGGCTGCTGCTTTTGTTTTTGTTTTGTTTTGGTTTTCTTGTTGTGTAAGAATTCTATTAGTACTAGCTACTCTACCAGATGATGGTTACTGCCTTAATAACAGGTACAACAGATACAATGTTCTATGTTCACCTCACAATGAGGGAATGTTATGAAAATAAGAAGGGCAAATTGGATGGCTGATTGTGAATTGCGCTGAAGTGTTGTGCCTATCAATCCATGAATGTTGAGTGCTCAGTGATGAAGGCAGCACCATCTTCAAATGGAAATCTAGTGTAGTCCATGGATTAATTTCTAGATACATAGAATGGTCTCATATCATGTGGGTATGCAGCTGCTTTTGACTCAGTTGCCTTGTGGGCTTGGCATAATCTGTTTCCAAATTTCTCTTCAAAGTATCACTTAATCCATGCTATGCCAATTTCTTGATATTACAGTTTGCCATTGATCTAGGTTGGTATTTTTAGTGAATGCTCCTTGGATTTAATGAAGGATCATCATTTTAAAAACTATATCAATCTTTGTGATTATTTTTATAGCCAAGCTATTCTGCTTCAGCAATATCATGATGTCTTGAACCTTTTCCTCTATACTTGAAGCAATGTTTTATCAGTAACTTTTTATGCATGAAGGGTATAAATGTTGTCATTATTTCATTATGACAGATCAACACCCATCACATCTGCTCATGCCTCTTACTACTTTGGGTAGTTTTGTGCCAATAATTTCCTGGTAAAGGCCATAATGGCAGGCATAGTTAGAGGTTAGTCAAGCTAACCTATATACATTCCTAAAAAAATGGGAACTGGGTGAGAAATGCACATAAAGCAGTCACATGCCATGTCTTCAGACATCACATATGATCACAAGAAAAAATAATATTGTGACACGTGAAGCCTGTTGTATTAGCATATGGATATGAATCTACTCTTGCAGGTCACACTGGCCCAAGTTACCAGTATATTCTGTAATAGCACCACTAGTCACAGCAGTTTTCATTAGTTTAAAAATTGACTATTTTTGACTGAATACTTACTCATCCCTATTTGCTAAGGGAAAGTTTAACAGAAACTAGACGCCTAGCAACACAATCCCAGGGGTCACTGGATTATGCAAGACTTAGCACTATTTATCAGCTCCATCAGAGAGGTCTGTCTGCACTATAAAGATACATAAGCAGCACCTGTCACCCTGAGAGTCAAGGAAAATAACATTTTATTTAAGGATCTCTATTTTCTGTGATGCTGATCTTTAAAAGGAAGTATCTTTAACTGGTAAAAATCAGTGCTATTTTGGACATTTCAAAAACCTCTTTTGAAAGGAAAATAGAATTACAATTATAGGTTGGTGCAGAAGTAATTGTGTTTTTTTTTTTTTTTTTTTTTTTTTTTTTGCCATGAAGGTAATGGCAAAACCCACAATTACTTCTGCACCAACCTAATGGTACCCAAACAAATATATATTGATAGTTCAGCCTTGCATTTTAAATGTTTTATTTTGAAATATTAATAATTTTAGGCTTATAAAAAAGTTACAAAAATAGTGCAGGAAACTTCTGTATATTTGTTATCCCTATCTGTATGCAGATTCCCCTAAGGTCAACAACTTACATGGCATGCATAGCACAGTTATCAAAACCAGGAAATTATCACTGGTACAAGATACTTAAGTAAATTAGAGACCTTATTTGAATGTCACCAGTTTTCTTCCTAATGTTATTTTTCTGTTCTAGGATCAAATCTAGGGTCCCACACGGCATTTATTCCTCATACCTTCTTAGTCTCCTCCAACCTGTGACACTTTCTCAGTCTTTCCTTGTCTTTCATGAATATGACACTTTGGATGAGTACTGGTTAATTATTCTGTAAAATAGATCTCTCTTTGTGCTTGTTGAATGTTTTCTCCTGATTAGACTGAGATCATGTGGTTTTGGCCAAAAAAAAAAAAAAAAAAAAAAAAAAAAAAAAAAAAAAAAAAAAAAAAAAGAAAAAAGAAAGAAAAAAAGAAAAAGAAATCCACACACAGAAATGGTGTGCATGACATCTGAGGGTATATGATGTTTATAGCTCTTATCATTCATTATGTTAACTTTAATCACTTGGTTAAGGTGGTGTCTACTGGGTTTCTCTACAATAACATAACC